CTGTAGCAAATTAGGGGCTTGAAACAACACACATTTGTTATCTCCTGTCCTGGAGGTCAGAGGTCAGAGCAGGAGGCCGTGTCTGGGGGTGTGAAGGGTGGGCCCCCACCTCCCAGGGGCTGCCCCTCATGGGGACTTGGACTCCACTTCATTCTGCATTGCTATTTGCCGACTCAAGGTCCGGTGGTTAGGAAAGCACACCATGCTGTCTGCTTTCCAGCCATGCCCCTCCCTGAGCTGACCTGGTGCCCCAGTGCAGGCCCACCTAGGACGGGGCCGCTTCCCAGGGTCGGGACCACCCAAGCACCCTTACCAACCAGGACCCAGCTGGGGCTCTGCCTAACCGCAGGCCCCCTGGGGCCTCTCAGCATGTCCCCCAAGCTAGTCTCATAATCCAGAAAAATGCCTTAGCCCAGCAGGGCTGCAAAGCCTTGCCAGCTGGGAGTCCACAGACCTGAATCCAGCCCCCTTCCTGAGTCTACAAACTGGCCTGTGGCTTCAGGCAGAATGTGAAATGTCAGCCCAGTGTGGTGTGGCTGCTAAAAAAAAATAAAGGTGATTGACTCTTCAGCTCCACTAAAAATGTCCTTGGATCTGAGCCCAGCAAGGTCAGACCCCATGGGGGGACTGGAGACCCTTTGAGCACTCTGCCCAGTTGGCCCTTACAGCCCCGTCCCTCCCAGGGCTACCATGGCCGGATACTGAGGATCCCTGCTCGGTGCCGTGTCATTCCCCCCACCGCCAAGGTAACCCTGTGAGGGTGATGATTACTGTTTCCACTTCACAGATGAGGAAACTGAGGCTCAGAGTGGCTTCCTGGACTGTGGCCCAGCCAGGAGGGGGCATGCTGGCCAGAAGCCTGTGTAGGGATGCGTCCCCAGCAGCAGCCCGGGGCTGGGGAAGAGGGTTGATGCTTGCAAGCCCTAACCATGGACGGAGGAGGGGCTGAATCCAGATCTCAGGTTCACCAGCGCTCTGCAGAGGGAGCTGGAAATGACATCATGTGGGAAAAAGTAGAGAAAACAGGGGGTTTAGCCCAGGAAGAAGCAGTCCAGGGAGGACAGCTCACTGAACAGAGGCAGGACCCAGGACATCTGGGTGCCCCTGCCCAGCTGGGAAGCACGAACCAAGGCCCCAGGAAACCCTGGCAGGCCGATGTGCAGAGACATTCCCCAGAGCAATTGGCCTGGAGTCCACAAAAATGTCAGACTCACGCCAGAAAAGACAGCAGGTGACCCTGGATTAGATCCTGGAGCAGCAGAAAATGATCAGTTTGCTTATTTACGAAGATGACATCACTGGGACAAGTGTGAAATCTGAATCAAGTCTGTAGATTAGATGATAGAGAATATAATATGCAACAGCATTAATTTTCTGACTTTGATATCTGTATAAGAGGCCAGCTCTGCCCTTAGGAAACATACCAGAAACTATTTGGGCAAACGCACATCAGCCATGCAACTTGCTCTCCAGAGGTTTAGAAAAGAAAATACATACATGGAAAGAGAGTAAGACAAATCCAGTAAAACGCTAACAACTGGGGATCTGGGGGAAGGAATGCTTGTATTATTTCTGTGGGACTAAAACTATCCCAAAAAACAAAGCTACAGAACAGAGAGGAAAATCGGTGGCCTGAAAGAAAAAAGCCAGAGGAATTCCCACTTCAAGGAGACTAGTACTGGGCAGGAATCACAGTATGTTCCCAGTCAGCGGACAAGCCAGCTTCGGGGTCATGAGGGGGACCGCGGGGGACCCACGAGTTTCCAGAGAGGCTGTCGGATGCCCGCACTTCCTGAGATAGTTTCCCGGTGTGGCGTCACGTGAGGTCTTGCAGGGGGGTGTCCTTACTCTCGGGAGGTGCACGCAGGATTTGGGGCAACACTTCAGGATGTTTGCATCTCTTATGTGGTTTGCAAAAACACGTTTATACGGGAGAGAGCGCCTGTGTGCTCTGCACGGGGCTGCACAGGGGCGCCTGCAGGTTTTCTCCAGGATACAGACCAGCTGGCCCCGCAGCCAAGGGCAGTGACGGGGCTGGGGCGGGGGAGGCAGCCGGGCGGGGGCTCCCTCCGCATCCCCCACCCGGGCTGGTGGCTGTTCCTCTCTGGCCACAAGATGTCTCTGTGGGGCCCGGTTCCAAGGCAGCTTGCATTCTTTAAAGTGCCTTAACGTTGCTAAGGTGTGAACCGAGCCTTTGCCCTTTCTGGCCGTCCGGGGCTCGGCCTCCCTCGGGGGCTCGGGCAGTCGTCCTGGGAGGGGCTTGCTCCCGTGGAGTCGCGCGGCGGGCTGGGCTCTCCCGCGGGGCAGTCCCCATTACGGGGTCTCTGCTGCCCTCTGGTGGCCGTTGCCTGTAACGCAGACCCCACCTCCTTGCGTTGCAGGCAGCCCCTCCTTGTCCTAGCAGAGATGAGGTCTCCAGAGAAGCTGACCCAGCTGGCTAGATGGGGTCTGTTTTAAGGAATTGGCTTATGCGACTGTGGGGGCCAGCAAGCCTGAAATCCACGGTGGGCAGGAGCAGATGCAGTGGAAGGAGGATCTTCATCTCCGGGAAACCTCACTTTTGCGCTGAGGTCTTCACCTGATTGGGTGAGGCCCACCACATTCTCGAGGGGCACCTCCCGTACTTAGGGCTGACTGACTGTAAATGCTGCCTGCATGTGCCAGATACTTTCCCAGCAACACCCAGATGCCTGTTTGAGGAAATGGCTGGATACTATTGGGCAAAGGAACAGACAGAAACCCACCCACAGCAGTTGGCTAACTGAAAAGACCACATTCTAAAGTGAAATTTCATGTCTCGAATTATGCTGTCCTGCCCACTTCCAACTTCTGCTCTTGAAAGAAAACCCACCCTTTGGTAAGAAAAAGAGTCTGTTATGGCTTCTATTATGGGAGCAGAGAGTGTGGTAAAGCCACTTAGAAGCCACAAGTTCTTCTAAGAAGGGGAGTGGAAGCAAAGGGGGCCAGGGCGCTGCTCCGTAAGGGGAGGCTTGCTTGTGTTGAAGCTGATGGGAAGGACATGGAGGGATGGAGATGGGGTGCTTATTGGCCAAGGACCTGAGAAGGCGCCCGATAGGGGACCCAGTGCCCCAGGGCCGTGGAGCCTCGGCGGGAGGGTGCCTCCACCCCACGGGCACCTCCCAGCACAGAAGCAACTCAGTGAGGCTTGTGCATGAAAACTAGCCTCCCAGTGGGGTGATCCAAAGTATATGGCGCGGTCCCTCCCCCCCGGGGCTGGCCTCTTCAGGGAGAGACGAGAGGAAACAGCGCAGGGGTGCAGGGGGTGGGACTGCGATGTCCAGGAGAGGACAGGTGTGAACTCAGATGGCCCAGAGACCATGCAGGCCAGCCAGCCCCTCCAGGGACAGAGGGGACCCAGGAGGCCAGCAGAGCTGCACAGGTCCCTCTTGGGCCCGGAGTGAGTGTGCTGGCAGCCATACAAAATGACCAAAGCTGGTGTGAAGTGGGAGGTGAATTCCCTCAGCTCTGGAGCCAGAGGTACAAACTTGGGGTGTCCTTCCCGCCCCTCAGCTCCTGGGTCGGCCTCCTGCCCCTGCAGTCACACGGTTGCCATCCCTGGGCACAGCTGCTCCCTCTTCTTACGACACCAGAGCCCACCCTACTCCAGAGTGACTCACCTCCGCTAACTATATCTGCAGGGACCCGATTTCCAAATATGGTCACTTTCTGAGATGCTGGGGGGACATTCGGTGGGGACAGTCCAACTCAGTGCGGTCCCTAGAAACACAGGGAGCCGAGAACAGGAGAGGGACCCGACCCACAGCACCACACGGGGCAGGGGTACAGGAGCCCCCTGCCCTGCCCGGCATCAGACGGGGAATAGCTGAGGAATGGCCAGCCAAGCCTCAGAGGACTGGTCAGAGCTGCAGCGCGGTACGTCAGGGGAGGTGGTGCACCCCCAGATGGACGGTGGTGGGAATAAGCTGAGTGAAGTCTGCATTGCTCAGGGCCCACAGAGAACAGAGGGCACAGAGCAATGTGTGGGGGCAGGTAGCTGGCACAGGACAGAGGGGCACCCAGGGCCAGCCCCGGACGGCAGGGTGCTCACACCTGCCGTAGTCACCCATCCCAAGGACTCGGGGTGGGTGTCTGGCCTGCCTCGTCTCTTTATCCTTACACCAGGGACATATTTCTCCTACAGGTGAGGCAAGGAGATATTGTCAGAATCCCATGATAGGGGAGGAGACCCGCCCAGAGAGGTCAGGTGACTTGCCCAAGGTCACACTGCAGGGCTGGGGCTGGGATTTGAACCTGTATTTAACTGACTCTAAAGTCACCGCTTTTATATACACTTTGTAATAAAGGTTCCTTACACAACCCTCCAGGCTTATACAAAGGAACCAGCTGACCAGCGAGTCCCGCAGGAGCAGCGGTCACAACTTCCTTCTGCTCTTACCTCGTGCGCCCCCTGCCTGTCCCAACAAACCTCGTATCATTGCTGCTGTTACTTTCGTATTTCTTTGCTTTCTGTGAAATACATGTGCACGGAGACGCACGGATCTTAGTCGATGGTGTACGATGTCCTTTAGTACAGTTTTCTTTGTGCTGGTAGTTTCTTCTGTGTTATCTGCATTTTCTTACTTTTCGAACAATGAGCAGTTACTGTTTTTATAATAAGAGGAAAAGAAAATGACAAAAACATGAAGGATATGTTTTTGGGCTGGTGCCTGGTCCGCTCCATTCAGCCACAGGCTTGAGGAGCCCCCAGATTTACTCTGTGCTTCTTCCCACACCTGCCCTGAGAAACCAGCCCCGGGGGAAGGGCGGCAGCTGCCTCCCTGTGCGCAGGAAGGGGCAGGACCCAGGCAAGCTGCCCAAAACTCAGGCCCTGCTGCCTCCTGGAGAACCCGGACACAGCCCGGTTCCAAGGAGCCTCCCTCTTCAAAGGGGTTGGGGGCCTCTCTGGGACACCCCTAAGCAGGCTGGGTGAGGCTGCCTGACCCTCTGGGGAGAGGTTGCCAGGCAACTAGCCGAGGCTCCGCCTAGGGTGGCTGTGGATGGCCACGTTGCCTGGCAACCAGGTAGCTGTGTCCCTTGAGCTGGGTCCACACAGCTGCGGCCCAGCCCTGCCTGGCTTCTCCCGGGCCTGCGGGACCCCTGGGGCCCTATTCTTATTCCCAGACACCAGGACAGCTGGTGCCTCTGGTCACAATGAATGCTGTTCTCTTCAGGTGAGTGGCCCTGCGCTGGCCCCAGCTGGGAGGGAGGGGTGGCGGGGTTTGGGGGCAGCTGGGACTGCTGGGGCTGGGGTTGTGGTAAGATGTGCCCCCCTCCCAATCCACCTCATCTCAAGGTCAAGGGAAGACGGAGCTCCAGAACCTGACCTCTGTTTCTCCAGCATTTATTGCCCACAGCTCTGGGATAGCCACATTCACAGGGTCCGCCCCCTCCTCCCGTCACTCACCTCCACCTGGCAAACCCCTCTTCATGCTTCAAAGTCCCACCAGATATCACCCCTTCTGTGGAATCGTCCCTGTCCCCTCTGCTGATCCTATCACTGCGTTCTCGCAGCTCGCCTGTCCTTTACCTGTTTATTCTGATGCCTGGTGATTTGTCCAGACCCACAGGGTGTACAACACAGAGCCAGCCCTCCCGCAGACCGTGGGCCCCAGTCAATGATAACGTGTCCATCATGGCTCATCAGCTGTAACAGATGCCTGCACACTGCAGGGCGTGGAACTGTTTCAGGCACAGCGTCTGTGGGAACTCTGTACTTTCCACCAGTTTTTCTGTAAATCTAAGACTGGTCCCCAAAAAAGTTCCTTAATGCTTTAAAAAGCTTCAGAATTTGGAGAAGGGAAAGAATTCAATGGCTTGGAGAAAACATGGAAGTGGGGATTTCAGAGGAAAGAGGTCACGGCAGCTAGGGATGGCTGGAATACAGGTTAACCCTGCCAGGAAGATAAAAGCTCAGCTAACGGGCCCCAGGGAGGGGAGTTTGAACCCTCGTTTGCTTTCCCACCAGGCCACTGACAGCCATGCATCCAGCTGGTCTGCCCAATGGGCCGACACTGGACAGTGGACATTATCCTGGGGACCAGGCACCTGGCATGGTGTTCAGAACCCAGGAGGAGAATGGGAGGGGGGTGCCCCCGCATCACTGGCTCTCCTGACCTGGTGGGCGTCCCTGCCCGGAATGGCCCCTCAGGTTCCCGCCTCCCCAGGGACAGCCAGGTGAGGGTGATGGAGGACACCGTGACCAACGCTGAGAAGTACTTTGGCCAGTTCTGCTCACTGCTGGCAGCCTACACCCGCAAGACGGCCCGGCTTCGGGACAAGGCCGACCAGCTGGTCAAACAGCTCATTGGCTTTGCCAACACGGAGAACCCTGAGATGCGGGCCACCATGAGGAGCTTCGCAGAGGACCTGGCCAAAGTGCAGGACTACCGGCAGGCCGAGGTGGGTAGGGCCGCCCAGGACCTGGGTCCCATTGCTGGGCTCCAGTCTGAGGGTTGGAGGCGCCCTATGGGGTCACAGCCCTATGGGGAGTGTCTCCTCCCCAAAAGGTGTCCTCAGCGGGCGGACACAACACCCCATTCCCTCCCAGGTCAGGCCTCCATTTACAAGACTGAGAGCCTGGAGCTGTGCAGAGTTGGACAAGGGACGAGCAGACCCAGGACACCGGTCCCCAGGGCCACAGCTGCGGGCTCCCTGCATCCTAGGCCGCAGGCAGTGCCCAGGGCCCAGAGAACAATGGTCGGGGGGTGAGGGCACAGAGACTGCAGGTGCTAGAATTCACAGTAAAATTCTGCCCCAGAAAATCCCCTCTGACTTAGAGAACAGGGCAGCTTTCCTTCTGAGTACCCATGAAGCCAGCCGGGCTGCAGCGAGGTCGTGGTGCCCCAGTGAGAGACGGCAAGCCGGGCAGAAGCCCCGTACCCGCGCAGCCCGGCAGATGCAGCGCAGCCCACACGGCGCGGGTTCCCAAGACAGGGGATACCTTGTCCTCGGGTAAGGGGTCTTGGCAGCACCGTTTGTCACCCAGGACTTCCCGATACCCTCGTGACTGGGCGGCTGCCTGTGTCAGCTCATCATCTTTACCCAAAGGCAAATGAAACTTGTATCTCCTGGTGAGCGGGTAGCTACAGCTTGGAGCCAGGCCCCCGGGGGGTGCTGTCTTCCCTGGTGTTTACATTCCGCCTTGACGACTGCCATTGCCCGCTTGTAAACCCAGCAAGAAGCTTGTTTAGCTTTTAAAGAGATTTACATACATCCTGAAGGGACAGAGAAAGGACTTACAATTGCACGTTTTCTAAACGAAAATGCTGTAAGGGAGAGGATGAGAAAGTCCCTTTTCCTTTTGGAACCTGGGAAAAATTAATATTTTTTTAGCCTTTGTGTTCACTCTAACAGGGTCCTAAGCCTTAATGAAGGAGAAGGAAGGGGCTCTGTGGGGATTCCAGCTGCCCTGGCCCATCTGGATTTTCAGGGGACCCCTAATGTCAAGGCAACAGCCTCAACTGGAATCTTGTTAGAAAAGCAGAATCTCAGGCCCACCCTGGACCACTGAACCCGAGCCTCTGAGAGGATGGCAGGCGGTCAGGGTGCTAAGGAGCCCCTGGGGGGACTCCTATGCCTGGCACTTAGGCACTGGCCAGGGTATGAGGCATGTCCCCCACCCCTGCTGACCCTGCCGTGTCCTTGGAGGCTGCATGGTGCAGCTGGCTCTGAATCCCACGTTTTTCTGGGTCCTTTGTGGGTCTATCTAGCCTCCCCAAAGAGATCCTAATGCGTTTTGGAAAAGTGAAATAGCCATGGGTCGTAATGAACTGTCTCAAAACCCTGATGGGTGGGCCATTCTGCTCATCCTACAGATGAGAAGACAAGGCTTAGCAAGATGAGATGTATTGCCTGAGCCTTGGGAGGTAGAGCCCTGAGCCCAGGTGGGCACCAAGGGAAGCGGGAGGGTGTCTCGTGCTTCCCCCTGGCCTCTGTGGCCCCACTGCGCAGCTCTGGGTGTGCAGACCACACCCTGTAATGTGGGCTGGAGGCCGAGCAGCCTCCAAACACCTCCCTGGCGCCTGATTCTCTGCACGTCTGTGACCCCCCAGGTGGAGAGGCTGGAGACCAAGGTCATCAACCCCCTGAAACTCTACGGGGTGCAGATAAAGCAGACGCGGGTGAGCGAGGGGACTGTGCTGCAGAGGCGCGCTAGAAAGGGGAGGCGGCGTTCGGGTCTGGCCACGTTGGGTCCCCAATACGCTTCTCTTTCCTTTAGGCTGAGATCAAGAAATTCAAGCATGTCCGGAAAAACGAAATCAAACAACTGGAAAAGCTGGAGAAACTGAGACAGAAGTCGCCTTCCGATAGGCAAATGATCGTATCCTTCCCTGGAAGTCAGGCCTGGGCTGCTGGGCCAGGGCGGCCCTTTGTTGAAGGTGCCCTCCGGGTAGGGATGGCAGGGCCCCCAAGGGGTTGCTGGTCCAGCTGGATCCTTAACAGCACCTTTCTCAGTCCCAGGTGAGTGGCCCACGTCTGTCTGGGGGAGGTAGACTCGCACGCAGGTGAGGAATGACCGCACAAAATGTCAAGGTGAGCTTTGTCCTGGGCAGGTGTGAGCAGGCCCTGAGCTCAGGGTGGCCAAAGGTTCAGGGAAAGCAATTGGTTGGGGGTCAGGAGACCTGGGTTCTTCCCATCATCAACACTCTTCAGCAAGCCAGCAAGTCACTGCCCTCCGAGGCCCCATTTCCTTATCAGGGTTACCTGTTTAATGATCACATGAGGCCGATGCTTCTAACCCCATTGTCTGGATGAGGAAACAGGCTGGGAAAGGTGACTTGCCCAAGGTCACACAGGTTAGGGGCAAACCTAACTCTGAGGGTGTCTGACTTTAAAATGCAGTATCTTTGTGCACCTGGTGTAGAGTCGGGTCACATAAATGTCGATCAAAGGAACCAGTGAATTAGTTAATTACCTAAGACATTCCGCACAGAAACTAATGATCATGAATGTAGAAACCCTGTTAGAACGACAGCTCAGTGGATGCCCACTGTTTAAGTCTTACAACAACCCTGCATGGCAAGTCTTATTACCGTGCCATTTACAGACAAGGAAGTTGAGGCTCAGAGAGGCTAAGTGACTTGCCCAAGGTCACACAGCTAGTAAGCAGGCCTGTCTGAGCAGCACCGGCCCCTTCTACTTGGCTATTTCTTCAATGACCAAATTATCAAGAGATGCCATGAGGCAGGGAACTGGCCCAGAAGTAGGAGAAGGAACTGAGAAGGATCCAGAATGGTGTCTAAAGGCCAGAACCACCCCACGACACCTTCCATCTCTGGGGCCAGGCGGAGACCAGTGTCCAGAGGGCCTCAGTGGATGCCAGCCGCACCACCCACCAGCTGGAGGAGGCGGTGGACGCCTTCCAGAAGCAGAAGCTGAAGGACCTACAGGTGGGGGCGTTGGGCCCTGTGTTGGAAGTGTTCGTGCACACGTGTAGGTCTGTGTATTTGCATGTGTGCGCATGTGTACTGTGTGTGTGTGAGCTTGTGCCCTTGTGGCTCTGGGGCCCGGGCTCCCAGGACAGTTAATCCTGGCTAACCTTGGCCTGTCGGGTAAGAGGGCTGCTACTCAGCTGTCCACCCGGAAGCCAGCACTGGCAGACTTGCCCCTCGACAGCCTGGCCCAGCTGCCCACCAGGAGACCTTGGCAGACTTCGCCCCCACCCCTGCCCCTTCCCCTCCATGCCAGGATTTGCCCTGACTTCCTACTTCCCTCTGTGAAGCCCTAAACACCCTTCTCTGGGGCAGGCATGGGCAGCTTCGTCCTTCCACCTGGACCCCACCCAATGCACCCCAGAATCCTAGGCCCTGACCCCAGCCAATCATAGAGATCCTCCATACCCAGTCTTCCAAACTGCAGCCCCAGAAATCTCACGAAAGGCAGCTGCTATCTGTCACTCCTGGATTTAGTGCCCTCTCCCCTGTTCTAAGGGTAAAGTCCCAAGGCCCAGAGGCACCCAGCCTTGGCTTGGATGCCCACCCCAAATTCAAGGGCTCCAACCTCTTCACACCTCAGGACCTTTGCACACACCGTGCCCTCTGTCCTTCCTCTTCATGGACTTAACACCTCATCCTTCATCGGGACTTGCCTGGGCCCCCAGCTCATCAGCCCCAGTGAACTCTCTGCTCAGCTCCTTCTGGGGGTGGAGTCAATGTTATCTTTAATTCACTCATTAATCTAAGAAATGCTGAATTTACACCTACTGTGTGCCAGGCACTGGGCCTGGAGCTGGGACTCCACAGCCAGAAAAGCCAGACTCCTGTCCTCAGGGGGCTGACGCCTTGGAGGAGACTGTGAAACGCGCCATTCACCAGGCACGGAAGGCTGTCCCGCCTCCCACACTGACAGGGGCGCCTGGGCAGACCTGCCTGTGTCCCCTGCTGGGTGGCCAGCCTGCCACTAGCAGCTCTCAGTAAATATCTGGGGAATGAATTAGTGTGCAGGTGAGTGAAATACCGGCGGTTACAGCTCAGGCATCCGTGCTGTGGGCAGGACCCAAACCACCAGGCCTGTGATGAAGCACCTGATGTTTATGAGGCTGGAGAGCAGGTGGCGGGGTGGGGCGCTGGCCAGGAAAAGCCTAGGACCAGATCCTCGGCCTCCGCGCGGCCAGGGGCCAGCAGAAGCATGCAGTTTCAAACGGCATCCTTTAAACCTCTGGGATTAAGTTTGTAAGAGATGCTTATTCAAACCATCCCCGAAAAAGCCCTCCAAATTTTGAAAGATAAAAACCAGAACTTGAAAACATGATTACCACCACATGGCGTTAGGTTGCATTTCTAACACAATGACCGTCTTTACAACGCTCTGACTCCTGTAAACAAGGAAATGCCTTCCCACAGGGGTCCACGTACCTGAGCATGCCTCGAAGTCACCTGCAGGGCCTTCCTCAGTGCAGACCACGGAGCCACAGGCCCACCCTGGAGCCCCATTCAGTGGGTCTGGGTGGGCTGGAGAATTCGCACTGCTGACCAGCTTGGGGTGGGGCTGGTGCCGCACGGGGTACATGGATGGGGGACAGCTGCCCCGGCTGAGTCTCATAGGGCTCTGTGACCTGGGTCTACCCTTGTCCCTCTGTGCAGATGAAGAAACAGGCTCAGAGAGGATAAGTCATTTCCTCGGGGTCACTTGCCAGCAAATGGCAGGAGGCTGCTTGCCCCTGCCTGTGGACTGGCAGCTGGGAGCACCTCTGGCTCTCAGGTGCGGAGACGGGAGACAGGTATTCCCAGCAGTCTGGGCCCCCTGCCCTTTTCTCTCCCAGGCTGACTTGGAGGCTTCCTGGGAGGCGGCCTCCCCCAGCAGCCGCATCCCGTGACCTGTGACGTGCTGTTTCCAAACTGCAGGCTCCTCCCCCCTGCACTGAGCTTTTGTCCTGCTGGGCCCACGGCAAAGCAGCGCTTAGTAGGGCTGGGCATGGTGTAGTAGGAAATCTGCAAGAGCTTGCTGAGCTGAGCGGAGCCCTCTAATCAAGAGAAACTGACTTCTCTTGTCTCATTCCATTTTGACAAGATGACTTGGGCTGTGGGCCCAGCCCAGCGATGTCTACTGGCAGCCCCCACATCCCTCCTGGGAGACCCACTTGCAGGCCCTGGGTGGCAGGGGCTGAAGATTTTGTAGCCATCACCTGTAAACGCCTGTCCTCGGGGTGAGGGGGCAGAGGCTGCACAGATGAGCCCAGGGGCAGCCGAGGGAAGGACCCTCAGAGTCCTTGCGGAGAGGCAAGCCCTCCACATTTCTGCAACGATCCCTGTGTGAGGCAGCCTTTGAATGGGAATATATTTATCTGTTCACACAAAAATAAACTAGAAGTAACAGTGACCTAGACCTGTCCCCAGGAGGACGGAACACCCCTGCCCCCAGTTTGTCCATGTTTGTGGGGACCCCAGGCCTCTCCCTCTGATAGTCTTAGTTATGCGATTTGCGCTTCTCTCCCCATAGAAAATTTTTTTGGACTTTGTAACCATTGAGATGATCTTCCATGCCAAAGCAGTGGAGGTGTATTCCAGTGCCTTCCAGGCCCTGGAGAACTACGACTTGGACAGAGACCTGGAGGTAGGTCCCAAACGCCCCCTTTTCTGTCAGTGGTGGTTTGTTGGCAACATTTTGCAGTTTTTACAATTTTGAAGACTTTTAAATATCTGTCCCCAGGTGCCTAATCTAAAGGTGGGGAATTTCCACAACGCTGTTATCTGGAGCATCAATGGGTTTATGGTCACTTGGGTGTTTAAACCAACAATCAACAGGGACAAAAGGCATCTGCAGACAGGCGCCCGCTGCAGGTTGGGCGTAGACGGAGGGCTTGCTATCCGCCTGCCTCCGGCCTGATTAAAATCTAGCCTGAGCTGAGTCATCCGAGCTGGGTGGAACCGCAGCCGCTCCCACGAATTGCCTCCTGTGGTTCTAGGGCCCCACGGCTCACAGTGGGGTCTGACTTTGGTTTTCAGCTGCTCAGTAGCTGGGGCTGGCGGTGCTTCAAAGGCTTCCTCACTCACATCTGGTAGGTGGTGGCTGTCATCCTTGTACAGGACAGGCCACGGGATTTGCAGAGTCCAATGCAAAATAAAACTGTGGGCCCTTTGTTCAACAATTACCAAGGATTTCCAGATGTCACCGGCAGAGTATTACACCATGCATGGGGCCCTCCTGAGCGTGGGGGCCCTGGGTGACTTCAGGAGCCACACACTCACAAAGCCTGTCCTGTCTGGGTCCTCAGCAAGGTCTGTAGCCTGAACACCTACCCGTGGCCTCTCCCTGTGGCATGGGCTTCCTCTTGGCATGGTGGCTGGTCTAAGAGCAAGCATCTTGAGACAGAGCCAGGTGGAAATTGTGTCACCTTTTATGACCTCCCTTAAAAGTAGTTTAGTGTTATTCTGCAGCTGTCTTTTCCTTAGGAGTGAGTTGGTAGGGCCGCATTCAAGGGGAGGAGAATTATATTCCAGCTCCCGATGGGAGACCTGTGAGAGGGCATGCCTCGGTGGGCAAGCGTTAAAATCGCCGTCTATGGTTAAATGCCGATCGGATGGGCAATATTCCATAATATCCTCTGGCGGGGGAGCGTGATCTCTGATTTCCCAGGGTGACTGTGGATGTGTTACTTAGCCTCTCTGGGCCTCACTTTCCCCATCTAAAAGGCGGATGGTAATGCCCACCTACCTGGCTGCTGTAGATTACATGGAATCACAAGCAGATGCCCCAGGCAGGACCTGGTGTGGGTGGGGTCCCTGCAGAGCTAGCTGGGCACCGGCCCCTCACCGCACCGTCTCTCCTTCCCACCCCCACCCCTCCTCTGTTTTCCGATGGGCCTCGCCCCACCGTGGTCTCTCCTAAGCAGGATTTTAGAGTGAAGATGCGTGGGGTCTATGAGCACAGCGACGCTCGGCTGCTCACCGACACCTTCCCGTCTCAGGCGGTCCCGTGGTCCTTCGCTGGCCAGGTGAGCCCTGAGGGCAGGGCCATTCAGCCTGTGACAGAGTGAAGTGCGGGGGGGAGGCTGTCTGAGAACCAGGATGTGAAGGAAGCAGGGCCCGGGAGGGGGAGAGCTGCCCTAGGGTCTGACCTGGACTTGCTGCAAGTGGAATCAGTAAAATGCTAAGGGCTTCGAGGCCGCCCCAGGCGCTGAGCGCCCCCTAGAGGCCTCTGGACTGTGTCCCCTTGAGGAGCAGAGGGCCCTGGACTGTCCACCGCTGCTGCCCGGGGCCCGGGTCTGTGGGTTTCAGAAGTCAGGGTTTCTCAGACTTCAGGGAACCAATACGGTGCCTACATTACCTGTTACCTTGGGCCCAGCAGGGCCTGTAATCAGGCACATTGCTGTTCTGCAGGGAAACCTTCGAGGGTGCAGCCAAGCAGGCCAAGTAAAGGCTGTAATCAGCCTCATGCCAACCAGGGTACAGGGTAAGGTTAGTCACCCAGTGAGTGGACATGGGGGCTGCGCCCAGTGTGTGGAGGAGCAGGGGGTGTCCCATAGCTTTCTGCATAAGTCTCTCTAAAGGCAGAGGACACAGTACTGCCCCCCAGCCAGATGCAGGGGCCCAAACCCACATCTCCTAAGCTGTGTGCCCTTGGGAAAGTTCCTGAGCCTCTCTGTGCTTTACAGGCCTCACCTGCAAAAGTGGACTATTAATAGTGTCCCCTGTGGGGCTGTGGTGAGCATTGGGTGAACAAACCTACATGATGCACTGAGAAAACCCTCAGTACTTGTCACCATTGTTATTTTTCTTGGTGCTGCTGTGTGGCGATGCTTAGGGCACTCAGAGCACCACCCGGAGCCGGGGGACGGAGGAGGAGAGCGTGGACGACTCTGCCGGGGAGGACCCTGTGGAGGACCTCGGGGGCCGGGGGCCAGGGCTCCATCAGTAGGACAGCACCTCCTCCATCGGGAGACTGGCCCTGGGTGCTTGGGGGTGGGTGGGGCTCTGTGTCCCCCCGTCCCCAGTGAGTCACATGTCCTCTGAGCTCCAGTTTCCTCATCTGTACAGATGCTCAATAAATGCCAAGTGCTCATACCCTGAGTCGTGCTGGGACTCACCTCCCACCTTAGGACTTGTGGGCTCGGCTGTTCATGCTGAGAACTTGGTCAAGGGTGAGCCTCCCAGGGCTGCAGAAACCAAGGACCACAACCTGGGGTGCGGGGGGGCCGAAACCACAGAAATGTCTGGGGTTCTGGAGGCCTGAAGTCTGAAATCGAGGTACTGGCAGGGGGGCCCCTGCTGAGGGCTCTCCCGGCTCCTGGTGGTCGCTGCCATCTTTGGGGATCCTTGGATTGTGGACCGGTCGCTGTCATCTTCATCGGTCGCTGTCATCTTCATCCTCCCGTGGCGCTGTCCCTGTGTGTGTCCAAATTCCCTCGTGTTGTAAGGACACAGCCGACTTGGCGTAGGGGCCCACCCTCTCCAGCATGACCTCATGCTAACTAATCACAGCTGTATAGCCTATTCCCAAATACGGCTGCACTCCAGAGCCCTGGGGGCTGGGGGGACATGAGTCACCCCAGAACACACGGATGAGATGTGCCAGCATGAGATCATTGCATGGTTTGTATCACCCACAGTGATTCGTACTACCCCAAATCCAGCTCTGTGGCACCTCCTCAGGGAAGCCCACCCTGATTCTACCATGACTCCATGGACACTCACTCCAAACGTAACTAAAACATTTTTCTTATATAATTGACAAAATATCATCAGATTATATTGTATATAGATATTACCTCTTACACACTTATGCTAGAAACACTTATATGCATGTGTTCATGTGCATGCACACACACAAGTGTACCAACCCGACAATTTCTGAAGGAAAATGACCTTGCTCATTCACCTTGTGGTGTCTGGCACACAGTAAGCTGATGGCGTGAGGGGCCTCCCACCTTCCCTCTGGCCCCTGTGCACGAGGAGACCACCTGTTCCGATTCCAGGGTGGACAGCGGGCTGAGCCTTCCACGTCACCATGTCTTGGGAAGCGGCCCCAAATTTCAGAGCTTCTCTCTCTTCAGGCCTCCAGGAGGTGGGGTGGGCAGGGGCCGGGGGCTGCTGGCTTTCTGGTCCCTCTGAGCCTGGGTCAGACTTTGTTCCTCCCCACGTGTCCCTTGCTGTGTCTCTCCTGGTCGCCTGGGGCAACCCCCCTCACCGCGTCCTGGGGCAGTCTGAGTAGGTTCTGTGCAGGAGGGAAGGAATACTTCCTGGGGCATTAACAAGCGACTTCAGGAGTAGGAGCCTGGTCCCAAGCGTGGGAAGAGGGGCTGGGGAGCGGTTCTGGCGAGAGCCTGGGGGGCTGCGGCCGGACGGGGTCAGAGGGCAGTGAGGGGAAGAAGCCGCCACTCGCCGTGTTCCAGGTGCTTTGATGGGGTCAGAGGTAGAATGAATACAAGTTACAAGGAAAATTAAAAAACTTTAATGGTTTACATTTCTTTTATATTTAGGGTTGTGAATTTTGAATAATGCCTTTTAAATGTACTGCTATAAAATTTAGAAAAGTTTTGTCCCTTTTCTTTTTCTCTTTACTGGGGAGGAATCTTCTCGCAGCTACACGTTCGCAGGTTGACTCTCTCATCAGGAAAAGAAGGGACTAGCCTGGAGTGGGATGCACGGGGCTGCCCTTTGCAAAGCACGTGTGTACCGCCCCTGACTTTTGCGGGAACTGTGTGGGTGGGACAGGTGACGTTTCCCTTCCCGTTTCACAGGTGAAGAAACCGAGGCTCAAAGAACAATGGGGCAGAAGACTTACTTAGATTAGTGGGGAGGTGGAACAGGGGTCCCTGCTGCCTTCGGAGGGGTCCTCCCCCTCCTGGGAGCTGCCTGTTTATCTACCTATTGCTGGTCAAAAAGCACCAGAGGAAAAGTCCACTGTGACAGTCGGGTTGGCAGCTTCCACCACCCAGGCCAACCCCCGACATCTGGCTAAAAGGAGGTGGTGGTCTCCACACTGGGCAGGAGACCCGGGAACCTGGCCATCAGGCCCCCACCCACCAAGCCACAGGGAGCTGACTCCACCTATCTCAGGTGGCCACTGGCTGGTGGGGCGTACTGGGAGCCTGTCCCAGGGACCCTTGGGCCAAGCCCACAGCTGTTTGGTGGCCCGTGGGTACAGAGAACTCTCCTCAGGCTCTGCACTGCTCCTCAGCCTTGCCTCCCTATCTGTCTAGGCGGAGAGTTAGGACGCATGCCCTGACTTACAATCAGAGACCAAACGTGTCACAAAACACGTCTGTTGAGCCAGGTTGGCAAACACTGATAAAGACGTCCCGTTTGTGTCATAGAGGAGCTGGGACCAGTGCCCACTCACAGATCCCCCCAGGCTCCCAAACACAAGAGACGAGGCAACCTGGGCGAGAAGCAACGGTCAGGGTTCCAGCCGGAAGGCACTGGACACGTCCTGGAGGCCTGAGCTCGGATCCAGGGCAGGGCATGGCCGCTGCGTGCACTCACCTGCCCAGGGGCCTCGGCCAACCCGCGGCTCTGCAGCATTCGGGGGACGGCCCCCTTTCCAGCATTTCCCATGAGCCACACTCACGTGTGGACAGAACTCACCCAGCCTAAATGGGGAGGGCAACGTGACACCAGAAAAAAATGCTGTTTCTTCAAAGTCACTGGTGTCACTGAGAACACTAGATTCCATCAGAGGCGCTCGTGGATATGTGAGAACAAAGATTAGGCAGACTGACTTTTAAAAGATAATTTATTTCAGTTCCCACCTTCTGACAATCTGAGGTGCAACACATAGGCATATTTTTTTTTTCTTCACAGGAAACAGCTTTGATTTTAGCACTGTTCTGAGATCTTCAACCTTGAAACTTTCTCAACCTTAAAATACAGTTGGTAGGACATCACACACAAAAAAAATGGGACGCAAATTGCCTAACAGTAACACATAAAATGCCTGTGTCACTGAGTTCTACTTTTGGGTGAAAAGGCGATGTTGGGATGTGGCAAGTTTAGAGACCAACGGGGTGAAAGAAGAGACGGGGATGCACATGCGTAAGCCGTCGCTGAGGCCCCAGCAGAAGCCACGGTTCTTAACAAAGGCACAGACTGACCGTATTTAAACATGTTTCCGTCTTTTAAGGGGCCTGCTTGAGTTTCTAGCATTTCCCCCCACTCAAATGTCTTTCTCAAGGTGCCCACGGGAAGGAACAGCCCCAGGCTCGCTCTGGACCTCATGGCAGGGGAACCAAGCCAAGCTACCCCGAGCTCAGAAAGGAGGCTGGGACTCATCTGTCCAGAGCATCCATGGGAATGGCCCCTGCTGGGCACGTTCCCTTTTCACGCGCACGTCCCTGGAGACCAAGGATGAAGCAGGCACAGCCCCCACTTCTTGGGCTGGATCAGGGGGCCATTGGAAGAAGTCCTTTTCCTGGCTCAAGGGCAAGCCCACCACGGGAGGCTCTGGAAGCTGCGGGAGGCAGGGGCTCTGGCCTGACCTGGCCTTGTCAAAGCCTGGCATCTGCAGGAGAAGCCAGGACCTGAGTTCCCCTCCAGCTGCACAGACATCTGTGGGAGGCGTGTGCGTGGAGATGACGGGAAGATGGTCAAACCCAGACTGTCCTGACTCCCTTGGGGAGGTGATGAGTTTTCCCTTTCCCACAGTAACCAGGAACCTGCCCCACACGCATCTCAGGGACACACGAGTCCCCCAGACACAGTGAGGGGTGGGGATCTACTCCCAAGTTCTGGCCGGCCCAGGGAATGCAAGCCAGTGCCAGGTTGCCCAGGGAACAGAGCAGGCCAGCCCCACGAGGCATTTCCGTCCCTCCCTGAGAAGCAGACCCACAGGCCCAGGGACAGGGAGGGAGCTGGAGGTGCGGGAGGCCACGCTGAACGCAGCCTTAGAACTGAGTGCGGTCACCGGAAGCAAACAGTTGGGTAATGATGCATCCACTTGCTGTCTGGAGGCCCAACGCGTAGCTGCTTTTGGCCCCACAGTGAC